AACTTCAAGCCCAGATGATCTCACTGACAAATGTTCCCAGACAACCAAGGAAGAAAATACCAATTCTACACAATCTTTTCTGGAAAACTGAGAAAAAAGCTCTTCAAAAATTACTTTATGAATCCAGTATTAGTCTTATCTCTGATATCAACACTAGACAAAGACTTTGCAAGAAAAGAAAACTATAGGCCACTATCACTAAGAAGCATAGATGCAAATCTTATCAACCAAACACTAGCAAATCAAATTTAATAATATATAAAAATCATAATATATCACAACCAAGTAGTTTATCCCAAGAATGCAAGGCTGATTCAATATTCAAATATAACTCAATGTAATTCACCACATTAATAAACTAAACATACACACCCAGACACACACACACAAATGTGGTCAATTTATTTTTAACAAAAGTGTAAAGGCAATTCAATGGATAAAAGACAGATTTGAATGAAACGAGGCTGGAAAAATTTGATATCCCTAAGAGGGCAAAAAAGGACCTGAACCCATACCTCTTACCATATACAATATGAATTCAAAAATGTCATAGAGGCAAATATAAAATAATATAACTAAAAATATTTTAGAAGAAAATTTTGGAGAAAACCTTCATATTCTTGGTTATGACAAAAAGTTTGTATATATGACACCAGAAGCAATATCCATTAAAAAATGATAAATTGGACTTTATCAAAAATATAAAGAATGTTTAGTGAGTGATCTATTAATAAAATAAAAAGACAATTTATAGACTAAGAGAAAATATTTACAGTCACATATCTGTTAAATGACTTGTGTCTAAAACATACGAATTGCTCAGAATCCAATAATTAAAAAAATCCTATTAGAAATGAGAAAAATATTTGAAAAGACACTGTATTAAAGAAGCCATATGCATAGCAAATAAGCACATAAGACATTCAACATCAATAATCAGTCATTAGGATAATGCACTTTTTAAGTAGAAATTGATAAGTTGATTCTAGCATTCATGTGGAAAATGGAAAAAATGAAAGTGAACAAAACAATAACAGAGATTAAAAGAGCAAAGTAAGAGACACATTATCTGACTGTAAGTCTTAATATAATATAATAAAGCTACAATAATCAAGAAATCTCTACATAGAGTCCAGAGATAACCCAACATTTATGTAGTCAATCGATTTGACAAAGGTGTTAAAGGAATCCAAAGGAGGATATAAGTTATTTTCAAGAACTTTGCAGGAATAATTGGGTATCTTATATGGAAACAAAAAATAAACTTCAACTCCTACCTTAGACAATGCTTAAAAATAACTTTGAGGTAGTACAAATTTGGCTTAAACAAAATCAAAATGAAATTCTACAATAAAACATGGGAAAATATTTTTAGCCAAAGGATGGGCAAAAATTTCTTAGAAAGGATACAGAAATAATATTTCTCAAAGAGAAAAGTAGATAAAATAGAATTTATCAAAATTTTAACCTTTTTTTAATCAAAATACTCTGAAAAATTTGTTAAGCATATGTCTGATGAAAAAATTGTACCCAGACTATATACATTTTAAAAACCCTGTATCTCAATGATGGATTTAAAAATAAAAAACAAGATATTTGAATAGACCCTTACACAAAAGCCATATGAACAGACATACAAGCACATGAGGAGTAATTAGTATTATTGGTAAATTAGGGAAGCAAAAATTATAAACATAAAGAGATTCCAAATCTCACAAATTATAATGGATAAAATTTTAAAAGATACCATCAAATGCAAGGAAGAATATGGGGCAATTGGAATGCTCATAAATTGATAATGGGAGTGTAAATTAGAACAATAAGTTACAAGAAATTTGGCAGTTTCTTATAAAATTAAACATATACCTATGATATAATCTATATAATTCCACCCCTAGGTATTAATCCAAGAGAAATAAAAATATGTGTTCACAAACACTAAAATAGCTGTAGAAACTTTGCTCATAAAGGCAAAAATTGGCAATATTAAATGCTCACCAACAGGAGAATGGATAAGCAGATTGTGGTATATGAACGAAAAGACATTCATGAAATTAGCTTGGAATGAGAGGATAACAACTGGAAAGGTGCCCAAGAAAACTCTTTGAGGCTATAAAAATATTCTATATCTTGATAGGGATGGAATTACATGAATGTTTACTTTTGGGAAAACTCATTGAACTGAATGCTTAAGATTTATGTATCCTACAAAGTAAGAACAGTAAACAAAAATCAAATTCCTTTTTTGTAGTCATATGACAGTAATTTTGAAACTACTTTCTATATATTCTAGGTTTGAGTAAGTAAGTAAACATATTGACAGTAACAAGAGTCCAGTTTCTCACTTTTGGAAATTTAAACTATCAGTATGAACTCATGTTTTATAGGAAAGAGAAAAAATAAATGGATGGATGTGAAAATGTTACTATGTATGTCATATGCCCACTAAGAGGGCCTAGAAGCAACGACACAGGTATCGATGAGCACACCTATCACTCTGATCTTGGTGTCTAAATATCATTTTCCACTAAAGGTTGTCAGGTATTTTTGAAGAAAAAGCTGATTCCAGAGCTGGAATATGGAAGTTAACAGTAAATCTGAAATGTCTTGTAATGTCTTCAATGGGAAATTGAAAGGGGACAAGTCAAAAGGACACAAGAGCCAAATCTGCCTATTGAACAAATCTGATCTTAATTAAACATTAGAAACAAATAACAATATTAATGCAATACGATCTATTGCACAGAATAAAATTCATGAGCCATACTAATGTAAATAAGTAAATATATAAATAGATGACTATAGTTTATCAAGCATTCATAGTTTTTGGCAGGGAGGTATCTATTTAATCACACTGTTGAAAATAGAATTTCTTACAATCCACTTTGAATCTCTAAAACATGTACCACTGTGCTTACACATAGTATGAATTTAATAAATTTTTTGAAGTCTAGGAATTAAACACAGTAAGAAAAGCAAGTGATATTACATTCATTTAATGGCCTTATTTTCAACATAATATCCTATTATACATTTTACAATAAATGTTGAAACAATTTATCCAAACTGCATGTTTTTAATCACCTTATGAGTAACAAATTACCTAGTCAGCTGTATAAAAAACTACTCCTCCAAGCACCATCCTTCCCTTCTGATGCTTTCTATGATAGAGTTTCCAAATATTTCACAAGAGAATCCCATATAGAGAAAATGAGACCCACAGTGCCAGAAATGGGACACCAGGGAGTTTATGGGGATATTAATATATGTGAGTCACAGTAAATTAAACTAAGTGAAGAGCTGTCACATAAGGCATTGTGTCTACTGATTGCATATGAACTATTCTGAATGAATTGCCAGCTCTCACCTATTCACTCAGCATCAAACCAGGAAACAGTAACATTTGCTTCTAGTTGCAGTGGCAATAAAGAACTAAATCTGAGGGGTTTTTTTGTTTGTTTGTTTGTTTTTATAATTTATCTCTTGTTAATTCCAGGTTGGTGAGATTTTTTAAATACTTGAAGTATTTCATTTCACTCTATTCTGAATTGCATGATTTCTGAAGAGAAGTATGCTGTATTTCTTATTTTTTTTCCTCCAAGAAAAGTCATTAATTTTCAATTTACTAAATTTAGTTTTTGTTGTAATAACAGAAGTGATAATTTCCAAGGTCTTTACATTTAGAAGCTGAAACCAAAAGTTCCTGAAATATCTTTTTTTAATAAGAAAGTACCAAGAACAATTCTATGAAGATAACTTTGAAAACTCACATGTAACAGATATTTTTCTAAAAATATTTAACTTTCAAAAAATTGACTAACAAAGAAATGGGAAATATAATGAAAATCATACTAATAAATGTAGTTAGTGACTTAAACTTCCCCTCAACAAGACACTAGGCACAAAGAGTTTTACAGGTAAATTTTATAAGCTTTTAAAGAATAAAAAATTCTTAGCTATGAAACATTCTTCTAGAAAATAAAGAAAAAGAAAAAAATCCTACTAGAAATCTAAGAAAGAAAGGAACTTTCTTAACCTAGTAATGTTTATTTAACAGAAACCTACAGCAATCATGCTAGAGAATGGTGAAACTCAGAAACATCCTTGTTAAAATGAGAAGCAAGACAATGATGCCAGATTGCCAATTCAGTTCAATTACATTCAGTGTTTCACTGATGCTCCTACTTAGGTAATAAGACAAGAAAAATAAATATAAGATAAATACCTCCTTTCTTTCATTCCTTATTATTATTAGCAGAATTCAGTTCCCTTATGACTGCAGTATAGTCTCCATTTTCTCGCTGCCTGGCAGCCAGGAATGACTCTTAGGTCCAAAAAGCCTCTATGAGGCCCCCTTTATCTCGGCCACAGAGAATTTCCCTTACATAAACCCTTTTCAATCTTCTGATCTCTTTTTCTCTTTTGCTGACAGCCTGAGAAAACTCTCTGCTTTTAAAAAGCCCATGTGATTCAGTCAGCTCTACTGGGATAATTGCATTATCTTAATGTCAACATATTAATAACCTCAATCATCTCTGCAAAATCTCTTTTTCTATGTAACATAATCATGACAGTAACACCACAGGGTGGAGATCAGGGGGGTCATTTTAGAATTCTGCCAACCATGCTACTCATACCGCTGTCAACCATGTTAGACTGATACTTAGTGAACGCACAATGCTCATTTTATTGCTTCACTAAATATTTTAGTTGTAATGATAATGAATTCATGAATGAGCTGACAGCATAGTCACTTACAAAAGTCCTATAACTTAATTGTAGTGTTGCTTATATATCATTACATCACATGTGGCTGAATTTTAGAGGCATTATCAATAATCATCTCATTACCTTTGTTACACTTCTCTAGGTTGTAACAGTTAGTGAAAATGAACTTTTTAACTCAACTCGAAAGAAAATTATTTCTGTGAAATGGACCTAAGGATTTACTTCAATTGCAAAAAAGAAGCATCTCTAGGTTAAAAAATATAATTATTAACATTTGCCTTAATCCTCACACTAAGTTCAGAATGGAAGGATAAAAAGGAGTAAATAACTTACCAGTGGTTTAATACACTATGAAGTAGAATTCACCTACTATAGACTTTGTGTCTTCAGATTGAACAAGGACATCAAATTCTCCTTTAAGATAGACTTCCATTCTGGGATGCACTGGGAAAATTCATTGTGTATTCCTCCACAAACTAGACATAAAATGGTAAGAAATATTATTGCTTTTTGTGAACTTCTTGAAAGCAAGAAATGTTTCTCTGAATCCTTTTTTCCTTCAGCCTTCAATGTCTAGAACACAGTCAACTGGTCAGAGACTCTAATGATAATCTCACCATTGTCACAAACCATTGGCTCTGGCCCAGCTTATAGGCATATTTTCTTTGAACCATACAGTGACTTTTAAATGTTAGAATCTGGTGTCAATAATTGTAACATTAGGAGATTTTATATTTTTTTAAACAAATCTAGATGTCTGGCTTATTCTGAAACACAGAACCCACATTCCCATATACCACCTGTCTTCTGAAGGTGCTCCAGTTCAGCTAGGCAAGCACTCTCCAGTTTAGTACAGTACTCTGCCGGGTTGTTTGACTTATTTATATTACCTACCTGGATTCTGTGGGAATTTGAGTTTTCTACCATTTTGCATCTCAAAATGTTGTTTTCATGATGTATTTCAGATATGCTAGTCTCCGTGGATGCTCTAAGGAAGAAAAAAAAAAAGCAATATACTTAAGGTTATTAAATAAAGAAACAACTAAATTTACACATTTTCAAAACACTATTGGCTGCAGACCACTTTAATGAGTCACTCTTACTAATATACAACAAAACTGGCAACTTATGGCACATGTTACATGTTTACATTAGTCATTTAGTTGTCCTTACCCACTGAAAAACCTGACACCTTGTCATAGCGAGGCTCTTCTAGCTTAAGGCAACATTTACATGCTGACATTTTGAGCAAAGAGAGAGGAGAAGAAAGATATTTCAATCCCAGGGCAATAAAAATAAGGAAAATGGAAAGGATAACAAAGAAATTAAAAACTAACCCAAGGTGGCACTTGAACTGGTAAGTCAAGGCTTTCCAAGAAAACTTAGCTCAGTACTAACAGGAGATACTCCTGCAGTGGCCATATGGAGCCTCATGTTTCATAACAGCCTTTGCTGGTCCCTTCCTGTCTCCTGTCTCTCACTGGTCAAAATTCCATTTTTTTTTTTAATGTTGGTTACCTGTCTTCTCCAAGTAGCCTTTAGAAAAGCTTTATATCAAGTAAGATGCTTCACGGGAGTCTGATAGTGGTGAGAAGTTCTGGAACCTTCAGGGTCTGGTTGAGTTGGATCTATAAGCCAAAACTGTTGCTATTTTCTCTATGACAGGCACAATTTACCCAGGAGATCTGCACTTGTTGGAGATCTACACTTACCCAGGTTCAGGCTGACACAGCCGAAAATGAGACATTGGCACTGGCACCCAGGAATCTTCACTAGGCAAATGGTCCAGAAGACAAATAGAACCAAGCAAATTGGGAGGATAGATACTTCAAGGTTGACAGACTCTCTATCAGGTAATACTTCACTCTGAGAAGCTAAGACAGCAGGAAAAAAGCAACAACTTTGGAGAGCTGAGAATCAGTTTTCCCTGCTACAAGGATCTTCTACAATGAGATGTTTGAACCCATTTTTCTCTAGGGTTTTTTTTTCCCCATAATTTACTAACTTCTTTTACATATTAGAAGTTCCTCTAGTTGTATGTAAAGTGACATGACTTTTCCAGTTTTTTATCTTTGTTCCCACTAAGGCTCTGGTATTGCTGCTTTTCAAGATTGGCTGTCTTCCATTGCTACACAAAAACAAAAACATTGCAAATTTATTCACAATAACTATTTTTTAAATTTATTTTATGTCAAAAATACTGTGCAGAAAAAATTCTAAGAACGGTTTTCTTCATTGATGGACAATAATTATTTAAAAAGTGATGACTCTAACATCCTATTTACAGTCTCTAGGATCTAAGTTTGAAGAATACTCACATATACCATATTTTCTACTAATTGCATAGAGATTTCACAATTGTTTTTTAAAAGAGAATTTTTTAGCAAGATAACTGGTAGTGCATAGAGTATAAAAATTCAATTCCTTCCTTTTCTGACAGACATTTACTTTTTTCTTGCTTCATTTTTGTTTCTCCTCTATGAGCTCTCTACTCTTTTCTATTGTTCTGTTACTGTGTCCTTTCACCAGTACTAAACTGCCTTGATTACTGCAGCTTTATAATATGACCTCACGTCAGGTAGTATCAGTATTCCAACTTTGTTCCCCTCCTCCATTATTTTGTTGCCTCTCCACATAAACTTGAGAATCAGTTTTTTAACACCACAACATAACTTGCTGGAATTCTGATTGAGAGTGTAGGAACCTATAGATCAAGCTGGGAAGAACTGAAATTCTGACATTGAGTTTTCCTATCACGAACATGGAATATCTCTTTATTTATCTAATTCTGTGATTTCTTCCATCACAGCTTTACAACTTACCTCATATAGATCTTGTACAAATTTTGTGTCTATTTTGTGAAATACCTAAATATTTCAATTTGGGGAATATTAATGTAAATAATATTGTGTTTTTAATTTCCAGTTCTGCTTGTTCATTGCTGATATGAATATTGACTTTTAAATCACTCCCTAAATGTATAAAATTATTCAGTTATTTTTAATTAGTTAATTTAATAACACCTGGCAAAGAAGATATGTATGTTAGTTTCTATTGTTCATTTCAATTTGTTTTAATTTTTCATTCTTTTCCCTCCTTTTCTTAATATCAAAGATAATAGCTGCCCCTGGGATAACAGTTAATTGTCCTGTGTCCATAGCCAGTGCCTAGGTCAGACAGGAACCCTAAATCTTGTTGAGTGCACACCATGTGTTAGTTTCTGAGCTGGTGGCCTATTAAAATTCGTAACAGTATGAGATGAGTGCTTTATGCCCTTGGCATATTTGTATTTACCCTGCTCCACACAAAGCATCTTTCTTCAAATTGAAGACTAATATTTTTCTTTGATTCTTGACGTACAGCTTTATACAAGTAACTCAATTTTCCTCCCCAAAAACACCAAACCAGGGCTACTGGATTCTTCTCCCAGTAGAGGCATTATAGCCTCAATTCTCAAAAACAACCAGAAGCAAAAACTCTCAAGAGCTTTAAAATATGCAGATTTCTTCCTTTAGGCCACTCTTCTCTTTAGGCATCCTGGAATTTCCTCTTCTGGGATTCAAGTTCAGCTAAGTATTTATTTAAATTATTCTATTTGTCTACATACATAGATGGTCAGCATATTCTGATCTTTGCTCATCAGTTTGACTAGTCTACCGGTTCAAAATTACATCCTTCTGTTCTTACTTTCTCTCCAAAGTAATTTCAGTTTGGGGATAAAATTTTTGTTGAAATGAAGAGAAACTCTGGAAATTTGTTTTCATTTCTTTACTACTCTTCAGCACAGCTGAAGCAGGATAAAGATGTATATTTATCTTCTCCCAGCCCCGTTTTTAATAGTGAACCAAATAAACCTACATACTGTCCTGTGAGTCATGCTCCATCTCTAGTCCCATCTAATACCACGTCTTCTCTTTTTTATACTTCCAAAGCCCTTAATGTCTATGAAATGTCTTTACCACTAAAGGTTTTTAGTACTCATCATTAGCAGTAATAATTATATGTGAGACTGATAGTATTGGGGGTAGGAGTGGGAAAGAAGCAAATCTATGCTTATTTCTAGGGACAACTGGAAGTCTGGTACTGACCCTTAGTCAAAAAAACAATAACACTAACTAGTGATTTATAATATTCCTTTTAAAGCTTTAAACTCTTCAGGGGGCACTGGCATCTCTCCATTCTTTCAGGATATATAAATGAATGTCTTGTACTTGATGTAAATAGTTACCAAGCCTGGTTTTAGCTGTATGGTAAGTGGGCAAAAAGTCCTTGGTGTGCTTGAGTTCCCTTGAAACTGATGACCTCACACAGATCTTGGTGTTTCATAATCTGAATCTGATGCACATCTTTGGAGGCTGAGAAGGATCTTGAAGGGCTGTACCTGGAAGTTCTCCAGCCTTTCTGTGATTGCCTGTTCCTTCTTTCTCCTGCTGTGCTGTACACTTTACTTTTCTTACAGCCATTAGAGAGCTCACTCCATGGAGTCTTGTGAGTCCTTCCAATTAACCAACCAAAGTGAACTGATGGAGGTCTCAGTACAATATGTAAAACATCACTCTATTTGGTGTAGGTGTTTTTAAGGGGACGTAATGCCACCACACTTCACAGATAGCGAAATGAAACTAGAGAAGTTATATGGTTTGTTCAGGATACCATGGCAAATTTTAAACTATTGTATTAGTTTTAAAAAAGAATAAGGGGATGGTCACTGAGTTAAGAATAATAAGAATTAGGTTTTCACTTCAGCTCTGTCATCAGCAAGTTATGGCACCAGAAAAAAAATTGCTTAATCATTACAATCCTCATATGGTAAACTGAAGTAATAACACAGCTTGTATCTGTCTCAGTGTGATTGAGCAAAAATAGAATCATTTTCACAATAGACAGGCAACTATCTTTCTTTCAAGATGACAGATGGTGGAAACTGCTCAGAATCAGATGATGAAAACTGATCAGAATATTACAGAATGAAGCACATAATTCCTAATGAGAAGCATAGAAGGGTGTGTGTTTGTGTGTGTGTGTGTGAGAGAGAGAGAGGGAGAAAGAGAGAGAAAAGAGACAAGGGAATTTTGGAGTAGAAATTTTGAGTATTAAAGAGAGATGAGAAAATTTTATGGAAAAAGGGGTATTTCAACACCAAATCAAGATAATATTTTTTGATACTTTTGATTATTAAAAAAGAGGGAAAGGAAATGGTAGGCTAAGGAATTAGAATAAATAAGTCAGGAAGAAAATTGAGAAGCTACAAATAAACTGAAAAGTTTTATTTTGAGGAAATTGAAATTTTAAAAATTAACTGAAAGAGCAAGTAAGATTGCATCAGAACAAGAAATCTAACCTGAGGAGGAAAAAAAAAATGATAACAGAAGCTATCACAGAAATGAGTACCATCGAGCTGTTTGAAAATAACTTAGGGATGTAGTAATTTTGAACAAATTGACACTTTATTTCAATAACATTAGAGATAGAGGTAAACTGAACAATACAAATGACATTTGAAATAAATAAACATATGTATGTGTTCACACACACACACACACACATATATATATATATATATATACACACAGAGAGAGAGAGAGAGAGAGGAAGAGAGAGAGAGAAAGAGAGGATAGAAGGCAATAAAGGCCATTCTCATCATTTCCATGAATGAACCCCAAAGAAAATAATATATTTCTCTTACAGATTTCTTACTGTAAAAATCAATATGTAAGAAGAAGAGCATTGTACTGATAATTAGTGAAAAAGTCAACTCTTTGCTACAAATAGAGAACTTGAGAAGAAAATTTTATAATTATAAATCATTAAAAAAAACTTTCTGATCAAATGAACTATGATTCTTCTTTTAATATTATTCAAGTAGTACCTAATATTAAGTAAGTACACAAAGTTGATACTAGTTTTATTACTATATTAGTAGTAAAACTGAGAGTAGCAGGAGGCTACTAAGTGTTTAAAGTTGGATACAACGTCAGAACTAAAAAT